CAGAACAAGCCACCACCAGGTCCTGCTCCATCCTCACCATTGTTTTTAATGTTTGAGCCTGTCGCTGCAGCCGCTGTGTCGATCCATTTTACCCAGAGCCTTCCCCTCTCCACTTGACCAAGCATGATGTCCTTCTCCAGGAACTGGTCTCTCTTGATCGCATGTCCAAGGGACATGAGACAAAGTGTTGCCACCCTTATCTCTAAGGTGCATTCTGGCTGTACTTCTTCCCATATAGATCTGATTGTTCGTTTGACAGTCTATGGTACTTTCAATATTTTTTTTGCCAACACCATAGTTCAAATGCATCCATTTTTCTCAGTCTTCCTTATTCAATGCCCAACTTTTATATGCATATAATGCAATTGAAAATACCATGTGAGTTAGTGAGTTTATTGCACCAACCTCGCTGATAAAGACATGTGGGATTAATTGAAGGGCGGAGGGATAAATGACTCGGTGAACCTCGCCTTTCTAGTTCGCAGATCTCTTGCTTTGTGATGGTCACACCAGGGTGCAGCTGCTTTATCAGTTCCCTGGTTCAGCTGGCAAGGCTGACTTCCTGCAAAACATCCCCGAGGAGAAGCCACATGGACCTACCCCGATGCAGCCCTGGGGGCTGGAGCAGCCGTGTGGAGACCCCTGCCAGCGCTGAGATGCTTACACATTCACTGACTCGGCTTTCCTACTGCAGTTGGCATCGTTGTATCTGTTTTGTGAGATGGAGGAGGACTTTGTGGACTGCTGTTGGACATATGGGTTAATGGGTTAATGTTGGACTTGTGGGCTTGGGCAGCACTGGGTTGGGATGTTTTCTTGATGCACACTTACCCTTTATATAAAACTCTCTCTTATACATGAGTTGCTGCGGATTTGTTTCTCTAAAGTACCAAGACTAACACACATGCTTGGAGCAGGCCCACCGTTGTCCTCAAAGTAACATACATGCTTGTTTTTAAACACTTTAAAGAGGTCTTGCGCTGCACCTTTGCCTAATGCAGTGTGTCATTTGATCTCTTGACTGCTGCTTCAATGAATATTGATTATGGATCCATGCAAGATGAAATCTTTGATGACTTCAATCCCTTCTCCATTTAACATGATGTGAGGATTTTGATCTCCCTTACATTGAATTGTAATCCATACTAAAGGCTACAATCTTTCATCTTCATCGGCAAGTACTTCGAGTGCCCCTCGCTTCCAGCCAGCAAGGTCGTGCCATCTGCATATGGCAGGATATTGTCAGCCTTTCTCCTGTTCCGATATTGGATTCCTCTTCACATCATCCAGCCTCTCTGATTATTTGCTCAGCATATATATTGATTAAATATGGTGAAAAGATACACCCCTGACACACACCTTTCCTGATTTTAAGTCAGAAGCATTCCCTTGTTCTGTTCACACAACTACCTCTTTCTCCATGAGCACGTCTCATGAGCACAATAAGGTGTTCTGGAATTGTCATTCTCCTCAAAGCTATAGTCCACAAGGTGCTATGATCCACGGTCAAGTGTCTCTGCATAGTCAATGAGATGCAAGTAAACATCTTTCTAGTAGTCTCTGCTGTCAGCCAAGATCCATATGACATCATCCCTTTTTCCACGTCCTCTTCTGAATCTGGCCTTAACCTCTGGCGTCTCCCTGTCAATGCACTACTGCCACCAGTGTTGGATGATCTTCAACAAAATTTTACCTGCGTGTGATATCAATGATATTGTTCTATAATTGGAGCATTCTATTGGATCACCTTTCTTGGAATGGGTACAAAACATGGATTTCTTCCAGTCACTTGGCCAAGTCCTGGCATAGACGAGTACTTACAGTGCTTTAGCAGTATGTTGAAACATTTCAATTGCTATTCCACCGATCTCTGGAACCTTGTTTTTGGCTAATGCTTTCAGTGCAGCTTGAACCTCTTCCTTTCAGTACCATTGGTTCTTGCTCATAGGCTACCACTTGAAATGGTAGATTGTCAACTAGTTCTTCTTGGTACAGTGATTCTTTGTATTCTTTCCATTTTCTCTTGAAGCTTTCTGCATTGTTCAATATATTGCCTGTAGAATCTTTCAATATTGCAACTGGAGGCTTAAAGTTTTCCTTGAGGTCTCTCAGTTTAAGATATGCTGAGCATGTCCTTCCTTTTTTGTTTTCTAATTCTAGGTCTTTGCACATTTCATCATATTTTACCTTGTCTTCTTGAGCTGCCCTTCGAAAATTTCTGTTCAGCTCTTTGATTTCATCATTTCTCCTATGTGCCTTAGCTACTCTGATCAAGAGCAAATTTCAGACTCTCTTCCGACATCCACTTTGATCTTGCCTCCCTTTTTAATAACGTTTTGCTTTCTTCATGAATGATGTTCTTGATGGCCTCTCACAGTGACTGGTGGTTTTGAACTGCTGGTCTTCCCGTTAGCAGCCCTCTTTAAAAAGACCCTGCCTCTTAAAAATGAGAGGCAAACTCACCTTTGAGAAGCAGTAGAGAAAAACCAGGCCTTTGGCTTCCTTTCATCTTGTGTTGAGCCTTATACCCAACCGTCTGCACCCGAGGGTGGAGGAGGGCCGGGCATCAGCCAGAGACACCAGCTGCCCATGAAACTGTGAGCCCACTTCTGTGGGAAGGAGACTGGGAGTGTCTCTTCACCAGAGAAAGGCCCGATTCTGCCATGCCTGTTCCCAAAGGCGTGCTCAGGCCGCCTCAGGAGCTGCAGGTCTCAAATCTCCCGGCTTGACGACCATGGTCGTCATCAACCACTTCGTGACTGCAGGAGGTTCCTAAGCCGTACCTCAGCCTTGACCTGCCACCCACTGCCCACAGGCAAAGATGGACATTCCTAGTGCTCTTCCTAATTTGGCCTCACTTCTCTCTCCAGCCACTACCGCCCAGCTTCCCGCCATGCTGGAGCGCACACCAGCTATTTCCAGATGCGCGCTCTGGACGCCAGCTGCGTGCCTGGCTTCCGGTCTCTGTTGGGAAACCTACTCCCCATACCCTTCCCTCCCCTGCATCCTTTGGCATCTCTGCCCATCAGTTCCCAGTCACACATCACCCTCTCTGCTCACTCACAGATCGGGCTGCCCTGCGCCTGATCTCGCTTCCACGGCACCCACTCGGAGCCTGCCAGTGTGTTCTTGGTATTCACGGACTGAAATCGTGAGAAATAAGTAATCAGCTGTGAGTGGTCTTCTCAAACTCAGAAAATGGGCCCAAACCAGCGCTGAAGGAGGCCAACGGGGCATCTGGTTCCAGTGGTCCCAAAGGACCTTGCGTCAGCATCACCTGGACACAGGACACGTGAGAAGACCCAGGTCCCCAGGCCTCGGGGCCACACAGCTGCATTGGGCGAGCTCCCCAGGAGATTCTGAGGCTACATGGACAGACACTTGAGAACCACTGCTTTCGTCTGGTCTTCTTTCTTGGTAGCTGGGAAGGTTAAGGCCATGCAGAGAACGCCTATCGTCACAGGCCAGATTTGCACGGAGGTCCTCTGACCGCCACTCTGGCCACGGCGGCTGCAGTCATTGTGGAGGGCTTGAGGGGGCGTGGGCAAGAAGACCGCTGTTGCCCCATGGAGGTCCTGACAAGGTCCCTCTGCTCTCTGTCCAGATGACCAGCTCGGTCCCCATCATGGAGTCTTAGATATACTTCTAAAATATTTATTTATATTCAGAAAGAGCTCTTTAAGCACTTGTAATGTTCTCCTTCTCTTTAGAAAAGAAGCGAGCTAAGCTACCGGAGCAGCCCACACCCCCCATTCAGGAAGAGCCAGAGCCGATTAGCAATGTCCTTCAGGGGGATGACATCCTTGCCTTGGCCATCACAAAGGAAGACTTGAAGAAGGTGGGCATGCGGCCGAGGGCTTTCCTTCCTTTCCCTGCTGACCTGCTCCAGAACATCAGCCGAGCCCACCCTCTCACCACGAGCTCCCTCCTCAGAGGTGGGCGTGTCTGATCCCATGGAAAACCCATTGCACGGATGGAGGCCCCTCCCATCGGCGTCTGAAGGCCCCCCCTGGCTGGTGTGTTGTCACACGTTTGAGATTCGTGTCGAATCACAGGGGGAGACGAGAGGCTGCAGTGGCTTGTTTCCCACTGAAGCCACAGCCCCAGACCCCATTTTGTGGGAGGCTCTGACCCTGTGCCCAACAGAACAAAGGACCGCCTGGCCTTGTGCCGTCCTCACTGCTGCTTATGTTTGAGCCCCGTTGTCACCACCCCTCCGGTACCAGTGTCCTCCGGGGACTGGTCTCTCCTGACAACAAGCATGTCCACGTACATGAGTGAGATGAAGTTCTCGCCGTCCTTGCCCCTAAGGAGCATTCTGGATGTACTTCCCCATTTCAGCGATGGAAAGTCCAGGAGCAAACGCACGGACGGGGATGAAGCCTCATGCCCCCTACCTGGGAGCTCCAGCCTCTCCCTCCTCGGTGAGACCCTCTGGAGGCATAGTACACTGTTGGTTCTCGCCAGGACCTGACAATCTCCCGCCTGACGTAGCCTTTCCCCTGACAGAACAGATGTGCAGAGCTGGGCGCACAGATTGCCCGGCCCTCAGGGATTCCACCCAGAAGTAGGCTGGAGCAGGCTGCGAGTTCTCCTCCTGCTGATCTCAGGTGGAACCCACCCGTTTTGCTTCATTTTAGCAACATGTCCCTTGCCTGGAAATGGGGAAGCCTACCGTTACCAAGAATGTTCTCATCCGGAAATTCAAACCCCAGGACACTTCGAGGAAGGTCTGCCACTTAGTCGCACATCCTGCCACGCCAGAGGTGGCCACCAAACCCCTGGACTACTCTGGTATGCTGACCCTGGCCCTGGTGTTCCTGGTCTTGGCAGGCAGGGAGTGGCCTGCCTTCCAGAGCTTGCCTTTTCCCTCCCTCGCCTCCCCCCAGGTTCTGGGGACATCTTCGATGGCAGCATGCCCATTCTGCCCCACCACATCCTGGGGAGTCTTCAGGACTTGAAGAGAGTTGCCCTTGCCCGAGGGAACACCCAGGTCCGTGTGTCCAGAACTGCCTGGCTGAGGGAAGGCCAGGAAATCAGTTCCACCCCACTTGCTGATGGTGGGGCAGGACCGGGGTGCATGAGGTAGTATTAGACCTGAATCTAAGATGACAAATGATTCGCCCCCTGGATTAGTTGACACTTAAGTTGTATGTCACAGAAGCATGCTGTTAAGGACACAGAGGTGCCTCCTGGGCCCCCGCAGGCTGCCCCTTGGGGGCGCCTCAAGCTCAGGCTCCTTCTCTCCCTCGGGACCCCTAGCCCTGGCTTCCCTCCCCCTCCTGAAGACTGGCCAGCTCACCGCCTCCACCAGGTCCACATGGTGGTGGAGGGGGCTCCCCAGAGCCCACAGGGCCCCGGAGAGGAGAGTCTGTCTTGATATCCTGATTTCAGGCAAGGTCCTCTGATTGATGGTGGGCTAAGGGGTGGGGGTGAAGGTGTTAATTAGTGTCCACTGTGAGGAGATTGGGCCCATTAAACGCTGTTGACCACAATCTCAAGAGCTTCCTTTCTGGGGGGAAGGCAGGTGCAGACACCGCCCCCCTTCCAAGCCCTTTGGGGGGTCTTGGGAAAGATGGGCTCTCAGAAGGAGTGGCACAACTTTGGGGGGAGGATGGGGATGGTGGCCTCGTGAAATCTCTGGTTGCCACCCCACACACACACACCCCCATCCAGCACCTTCTCACCACCACCCCCAACCCACGTCCTGCGTTTCAGCTGGCCAACCTGATACAAACCCCACCATGTCTGATGACCCTCCTCTTAGAGGGAGAAGAGCCAAAGCCAAAGAAATCCCCCCAAGCAAAGAAGGCCCATCTCTGGGCCCCAGCTGCTCAGCACAACTTTCTGAAAAACTGGAGGCGCAACCTGGCCCTTCGGAAGAAGCAGCAGGAGGCCCTCAGTGGTAAGCAAGGTGGCCAACCACCTGGCCTCCACCTGCCCCACACCTGCCCAGGGCTGAGGGAGGCTGTGCCAGTCCCTCCCATGGTGCCCTGCTCCCTGCGGGCAGTGTGCTCAGGGCCCTGTGGCCCTGGGGTGGCGGCCGGCTGCATCCTGGACTCTCGCTGTCTAGGACACCTGGGGAAGCCGGTCAGCAAGCTGCTGATGCACTCAGGGGAGACCTACAGGCAGATCCGGGAGGAGCGCGAGCACATAGACCGGGCCTTGCTCACACAGCACGACGGGAAGGTAGGCGCTGCCGTGCCCTCTGACCTTGACTGAATGCTATCATCGATCCTCTGGGGTGGGTGGGTGGGTGGGTGGGTGGAGTTTCAGTGGGATGAAAAGATCATGGCACTTCCCCTTGAGACCCCATGTTATCGGTGACAGGGACTAAGTGCTTGGTTATGAGCTCAAAGGTTGGAGGTTCGAGGCCACACACAGGTGCCTCAGGAGAAAGGCCTGGTAGTCAGCTCGGGCAAACTAGGGGCTGTGATGAGTCGGATTCAACTTGACAGCAACTGGTTTGGTATGTTTTGGGGGGATGGGAAGGAAAACGAGTTAATTAGGTCACTCAGCCTGTGGTGGCTTTGCATGCTACCACTGGTGCCCCCCCCCCCACTTTCTTCAAGCTACCAAAGGTGCTGAATTCGCATAACAGCCTAAGCACCTGCCTCCTAAGAGCTCAGGCCCAGCTTTCATGAGGAGGACGCCTCATGAGTTCCAGTGGGTAGCAGGGCCCAGGTGTAGTGCCCGTACCAGCCCAGGCCATTGTCTCCAAGGCAGGGCATCTTGAGAGCCAACGCTGTGCTGGCAGTGATAAATCCCCCCAAAGGGACCCTCGAGGTCTGTGAGCCCCTGGCCCCTCAGTCCCCCTTCCCACCAGCACCGCCCCTGAGCGTCGTCTCTGCCTTCCCAGTGCCAGGCGGAGAGCAGCGGGTTCTGGAGCCGAGTGGAATACGTGGGAGATGAGATGACAGGCCTGGTCATGACGAAGACCAAGGCCCAGCGTGGCATCCTGGAGCCCATCCCTCGCATCAGGAAGCCCCACTCGGTCCGGGAGGAGATGGGTGAGGAGGGTGGCTGGCCCAGGGGGGTGGGGGGGCCGTGTGCAGGCGGGGGGTGGGGGTGGGGGAAGCTCACCTGTCTGGCTGCTGTGAGACGGAATCCCGCTCCTGTCACTTGCTTCCTTGGGGCCTTAAACAAGTCACATAACTTGGGAGAATTCCAGGTTCATCTCCAGTCAAAAAAGGATGGCCAGGCAGAGCCTCACCTTGGAGGATGCCGCCCTGCTCACATACCCCCCCACACGCACATGTGGTAACACGTGGCTTGTTAGAATGGGGATGTTTGCTCAGTGCAAGGTGTCAAGGTGTCTGAAGACCAGGAGGGGAGAAACCTCGGTTAGCCATAGTTTCTAGATGGAGTACATGTTGAGATGATATGGGGGCTCAGCGCCGCTATAGAACCTGCCAGCCAGACTCCCGGGGTTCGGATGCCAGCCGACCTCCTCGGTCCCTCCATCCCTAAATTCTTACAGGGCTGAGAGTGGTCAGTGATACATGATGGGCAAACCCCGCTCCCCCAGCCCCCCAGGAAGGTAGCTGCTACTGTTAGCGTGGCCAGTGAGCCCCTCAGCGAGGTGGATGGGGGGCCGCAGTGATGGGCTCAGACGTAGCAGCACCTGTGAGGCTGGTGCAGTGTTTGGTCCTGTCCTCTGCGGGGCGCTCCGAGTCTGGATGGGCTCCTTAGCACCCAGGAGCAGTGACTATTGGATTATCATGGCGCCAGTGCCGAGACTGGACACCGGAAGCCAGTTTTGCAGGAGCCTTGAGAAGCACCTCTGAGGAGGTCTGGGGCAAAGAGGCCTGGGGTCCAGTGGCCATGGCAAAGCTGCATTTTCCCCTTTCCCGGGAAGGGTGCTGGGGTGGACATGCTGAGGGTCCTGGAGAAGTGGTCAGGAAGGAGCAAGGCGGCAGCCTCTGCTGAGGGTCCTGGGGGACTGGCTGCAGGACTACTGGCCCAGGAGGACAGCTGGTACCGCTACACCTGGGATCGGAGTCTGTTCCTGATCTACCGACGTAAGGAGCTGCAGAGCATCCTGGCCGAGCTGGACTTCAGCAAGCAGGTTAGTGCTGGCACCGGGACCCGGCCCAAAGCCCCCCAGGCTGATGGCTAAGCTTGGCCTTCCTGTCTCTCTGAGGACATCGACGGTCTGGAGGTGGTGGGCCGTGGGCAGCCTTTCTCGTCTGTTACGGTGGAAGACTACATGGTGTTTGACAACACCTGGGAAACCTCCTCTGAAGATTCCCTGAACCTGTGAGTCAGGCCTGGGTCCCGGGGAGAGAGGCTGAGAGTGTGTGGCTTCTCGTAGCACACACAGGGTAAGGATGGGGGCCCTCCCCACCAGGGCCCTCCAGCCCAGCCTCTCTTCCCAGCACCTGCCGTCTCCAGCAGCCACTCCTAGCAGGCCTTCCGCAGACGCCCCATCCTGTTGATGGAGCTCCCCGGCCTCCCCCACTGCTGGACACAGCGGGTGTGGCTGTGACCTTGGGGCTGGCAGAGCCCCTGGGCTTCTGAGGCCCTCCCTCCAAATGGAATGTGAGCAGGGGTGGGGTGGTGGGCAGGACCAGTGGAATGGAGACTCCTGGTAGCTATTTCCTTGGGCTCTGTGGAGGGGTGGGGGGGGAGGCTGCTTCAAGGAAATCAAGTGACTCATTTTCTTTTTCCTCAGAGACTTACCGACCATTCACCCGGATATGCTCCCCATGCCTGTTCTTGGCCCGTCCCTGCTGTTCTGCGGGAAACCCGCCTGCTGGATTAGAAGCAGGAATGCCCAGGACAAGGTGAAGCAGCTGCCCCACCCCTCCCTGGCCACAGGGCTCCCCCAGAGGTGCAGCTTCAAGGTGACTGTGGCATCCAGCACAGGAGGCCCCTCCTGTCTGCCTGTCTGGTCACATGCTCAGCTCGTCTGAAAATGGTAACAGCAACGGGAACTCGAATAAGAATAAAATCACAAGGGTGCCAAGGGAGGGTCACGAGCCTGTGAGTGGCCCCCAAGTGTGTGCAGAAACCAACCATCCAGGAGGTGCTGGAAGCAGGGATGTGCTGTGGCTGTAAACCCATCTTCTTCCTTTCAGTCTGGATGGCAGCCTCAGGTAGCCTCTCTCCCGGCAGGTCTGCTTGGACTCAGGGTGGCCAAGCTGGGAGGAGCCCTGGTGATTACGCTCTGGGGGTGGGGCTAACCCCCAGGTCAGCAGTTCGCTCCAAGGGAGAAAGACCGACTCTCTGCTCCCATAAAGAGTTACCATCTCAGAAACATAGGGGCGTCCTACCCTGTCCTATAGGTTGCTGTGCGTGGGTATCGATTTGATGGTAGTGAGCTTTGGGTCATGTTGTGGTTGAAGCCAGTGGGTGCTGTAGGTTAGACACCCAGCTGCCACTGCAAGGTCTGAGGCCCTGGTCTAGGGTCAGACCCACCAAACGCTCCGTGGGAAAACGATCGGGCAGTCTGCTCCCGTGAAGATGGACCACCTTGGAAACCCTGTGGAGCAGCTGCTCTCTGTCCTGTGGGGTTGACTCCATTGCAGGGGGAGGCTCTGAAGGCCCAGCACATGGGGCTGCAGCGTTTAAACTGGGCGAGCTCCAGGCCCAAGGGGGCGAGTTGATCACCCTGCGGCAGTGCCTCAGCAAAGACACTGCCACACCTCCTGCTCTCCCAGAGCCAGGTCGGAATTGCTGCCCGCTTGGTCTTTGAAACCCTGGAAGGGGAGACCACCTCCTCAGCGCTGACTGTGGTCAACAACGGCACGGTGGCCATCTGGTACACTTGGCGGCGGCAGGTCCAGCAGCACTCTTTCCAGGACCTGAAGAGAAACAGGGTGCAGCGTTTCTACTTTAACAACCGGCCAGGTACCCCACCTCCACCCCCCACCCACACACCCCCAGCGGCGCTGGCCACAGCTGGTTCTGCCCTGAGTCTGAGAGAAGCTTAAGCTTCCTGGGCTCCCACCAGGTGGACATCCTCTCCCACCCGGCCCCAGTCCCTCCCATTTTTCCCATGAAAACGTGACTGGTTCCCATCTGCTGGGTTGTGGGCACAACTCTGGAGCACACAGGGAGGTCAGCCCCTTGGGGACAGAGGTACTTCAGCTAGGAGTTCAGTGACCTCCATGCACAGGCCTAGGCCTGGGATGACCTGGGACTTTGTCAGGTTTAGCATGGAAAGGCTCACTTCCCTGGACACTCTCGGTCCCTGTCCCCCACCTGGGGCTCAGTCACAGGTACAGGCTGGGCAGTTCACTTTAAAGCTGAAGGCTGGGGTCCCGTTCCATGGGTCTAAACTGACGGGACCCTTGGCCCCCCGGCCCTTTCAGGAGTGATTCTGCCTGGGGAAACCAAAACATTCACCTTCTTCTTCAAGTCTCTGAATGCTGGGATCTTCAGGGAGTCTTGGGAGTTCGGAACTCACCCCGCTCTCCTAGGCGGTGCCCTACTGCAGGTCAATCTATATGCCATCTCCCTGACCCAGGATGTGTTTAAGGAGGAGAGGAAGTTACTGAAGGTGAGGCACCCAGGCTCCTCTTCTGGGCCCAGCTGGCAGTGCCCCCTGGCAGTGTGGCAGGCATCTCATCCCGCCCCCCCCCCCCCACACACACACTGCTGCTCTTCACAAGCAGGCAACTGCTTTTGTCCACCCAGGGCTTTGTGATACAGGGGGGGGGGGGCAGGCATGAGGAGGTGCCCCCACCAAACAGAAAATAAGTGAGGCTGAGACCCGAAGTCCCTCTCTAAGCCCAGGTAGCCCCAAGGCCCTTCATGCCCACTCTGTATTTGTTCACTGCTACCTGCTATCTTCAGTGGAGCTACATTGAAGGGCAAGTCTTCCAGGCCAAAACCAACCCCAAAGGACACCCTAACCAGAGGGGTGAGCCTTCCCGCATTTCTGCTCAGTGAGCTGGCCCCTGGAGTGCATGTGGGTGAGGCCTGGGTCCCCAGCCCCCAGGCAGCTGCATGCTGCACCCACCTTGCGCTCCTGGGATCCTGTAGACAGCTGCACTCTATAACCCACCTGGACCCCCAAACACACTCCAGCTGCTTCAGATGGGGCGCAGCCAGCAGAGGTCAGAGGCGATTTGGACCGCATGCCATTTCCGCCTGCCTCGCTAACCACAGGGCCCAACCCTCAGCTCTGTGCCTTTCTGTGGCGCTGTCTGTGTGGCCAAGCCAGGAAGGCTGCTGGCCTCAGGCTTGGCAAGGTCCACATGGTGCCCCCCGCCCTCTGCTCCTGATCTGGGGAGGTGCCGCGCCAACCCCTGACCTGGGGCAGGGACAGCGGCTCTCTCTAGGATGGGCCCGTCCTCTGCCTCCTTCTCCTCTTTTAGGCAACAAGGATCTTTGAAAAGACACCATGGTTTGGGGGGTCGGGGAAGAGGTGTGGGGGAGAGCGGGGGCGAATGGCAGGAACTCACGTGTAAGGGCAGGAAGTCCGAGGGGCCCAGCACCCCTCGCAGGTACCCCAGAGGTTTCCAAAGTCCGCCCACCACGGTGCCGCCCTCTCTCCCAGAGTAAGCTGACTGCCCAAGAGGCCGTCACCATCGTGGACAGCGTGCTGCAAGAGATGTTGAGGGGCATCCTGACGCCGGAGCGCGCGCCATCCCCCGCGGACGCCAACCTCACGGAGGAGGACTTGTTCCACTACAAGAATCCCCAGGTACAGGCCCAGTGTGCACCCCGCCCAGCTCCTGCAGTGCCAGGCTGGCAGGAGCAAACCCTTCCGTTGGCCGGGGCTGCCCTGAGCCACTTAGCGGAGGACCTTACTGTGAGATGGGCACTGTTTACACCCTCACCTTCCTCTCTGGAAACTGAGGCCCGGAGGCCAAGTCATTCCTAATAGAACACAGCCAGTACGGGGAGGCTGGGTGAGAATCCCCAACCCCAGAGCAAGCATGAAGCCAACTCCCGAGCAACACTGTGGGGGCAGAGCAGGACGGGCCCCATGGGTTTCCACGACTGTAAATCTTCACAGAAAGCCCCAGCGTCCTCCTGAGGAGCAGCTGGTGGGTCTGAATGGCCACCCGCCTGAGGTGTAACCCTCTCTGCCACCAGGGTCCCTGTGGGTGAGAACAGAGGTCCACATACCCCCTGTTTCACACCCAGTTGCACTTGGACACCCTCATGCAAAGCATAGGAAAGCTTTCCTTTGGCCGCGTCCACCCCTGCCCGCCCCCTGGCCCCTGGATGGAGGACCCAGCTGGGCAGGCTGGCCTTGGCTGCGGCGCCCTCATGCTGTGCCACTCTGTCTGTGCCTCTGCTGCAGCTGCACTACCAGCACCAGGTGGTGCAAACCCTGCTCGGCCTGTGGCAGCAGTACTTGAGCCTGCCTCCCAGTGCTGAGGAGGCCCAGCCCGGCCCGGCCCAGGCAGCCGTGAGCACCGACCCTTCGGCACACTTGAAGGTCCCCGCCGTGGAAATCCAAGTGTCGCAGCCCGAGAATGAAGCCCCTCGAGAATCCACCACGTTGCAGATGTTCAGAGGGGCAGCCGGGCCTGTCCACCGGAAGAGCATCATGGACGAGATCCTGGTGCAAGAAGGCCCCGACTTGGAGAGCACCAGGACCCCCCGGGAGTTGGAGAGCCCACCCCCGGCTGCCTGGAACCTCTGCCTGGAAGACTTGAGAAAGGTGCTATGCTGGCCCCTCAGGGCTGACCACTGAGCAAGGGCCCCGGGGCACCCTCTCAACCCCAAGGGCCAAGGACCAGAGCTTTCTGGTGCCCCAGAGAGCATGCGCTCTTGGTACAGGAGGCCTTTGAGCCTGGCCCCCTTCGGCAAGACGTTCAAGGGGACAGCTGCCTGAGGCTCCCATAGAAGGCTCCCAACCCAACCCAGCCCTCCACAGCTTCAGCCCCTGCTGGTTCATACTCCCCATGCCCCATACTGCCATGCCTGCCACCAGGGGACCCCAGGGGCCCTTGAGGTCCAGGGGCAGAGCAGTTGCCCATGGTGCCCGCGTTCCTGCCAGGCCGTAATAACACTCCCGGAGGAGAGCCAGCGGGAAGATGCTCTAGTCACCCTCAACAGAGGGGCCCTGGAGCTGTGCCAGAAGCAGAGGCCGCTGCAGTCCAATTTCCTGCAGCAGACCTGGTGAGTGCCCGGGCCTGCCCCCCTTACCTCCCCTTTGCACATCTGGCCAGGGTCCAGGTTGCTGCAGACCCGCCAGGCTCTGCTGCACCTGCTGGGGCAGCCCTCCTGCTGCCTGTCGCTCTCTGAGGGCAGACACAGCTGTGTAGACCACTTGGCTCGTCTCCTTCCTTGCTTCTTCCCTGTTCCTTCCCCACGATCGGAAGAGAAGGTGGAGTCCATGGAAGATTTCCCTTCTCTGGCGTCCGCCAGGCCATCACTTGGATGGGGCCCACTTGGATAAACCAAAAGCCACTGACGTGGTGCCAATTCCCACTCCTGGCGACCCTAGAGGACAGGGTGGAACTGCCCCTCGGGGGGTGTCCGAGACTGCAACCCGTCACGGGAACACAGCCTTGCCTTCCTCCCGCCTTGTCTGGACAGGCTGGGGCTTTTAAGCAGGGCCCAGGGAGCCCCTCGCTGGCAGCCTCACGTGTGGCTCAGCATTCTGGTGGGGCTGACTTTAGAGCCTGCATTCAAGGGGACCACGTAGCCCAGTACTAGGTCACTTCTGCTCAGCCCAGGCTTCACAGGAAGGCAGCGCGGGGGTTTGAGCATTTGCAGGGATGCGATGAGGACCAGGCTGGTCAGGGTCAGGCTGCTTCCCTGGTAGCTTCTCACCCCAGAACCTTTGAAGTGCAGGTCTGCACTGCTGCAGGTTCACGGCCAGTGAGGGCTGGGGCTGGGGCTCTTGCTCGGGTTGTTCCCAGCCTTGGCTCACCCTCTAGTTTGCAGCTGTGGCGGGATGTGATTGACAGCATGGTGAGTTACTCCCTGTGGCTGAGGGCCCTGCTGGGCCTGCCGGAGAAGGAGACCATGTATCTGGATGTGCCGGACGAGCAAGGTCAGCACTGGCTCCACCGCGCTCCCTGGGGACATCCTCACCTCTTCCTGGTCGCCTCTGCCATGGTGTCCCCTGCTACCTTTTTATAAGCAGCCAGGATATGGGGGCCAGAAACTCCCTTCCTGATCACCTTAGTTCAGTTCCTGAGCCTTGCGGGTTGAGCCCCAGAAAGGGTGGATGGCTTGCCCTTGTCCAACACGGGGTAGTGAGTGGTGGGGCTGGGTGTCGAATCTGGGTCTGCTTGCCTGACCAGGCCTCTTACCTGCCCCACAAACCTTTGCCACCTCAAAGGGGCAGGAGAACGGCACTGCCCTCCTGGCTCCTTCCAGGCTGTAGGAATGCTCTGAGAGCTGCTAAGAGCAGTTGGCCAGACTCTGGGGTGCCTACCAAACTCCCCCCTGACACCCACCCCCCATATGCTGTGGCTTCATGTGGATCACAAGAGTGTCACACTGTCTTTCCCTGCAGTAGATCAGAAGCCCCCTCCCATCGTGGAAGCGAAGACGGCCACTGGAAAGGTGGGGAAGGAAGAGCGGAAAGGAGCAGCCCAGGAAAAGAAGCAACTGGGCATCAAAGACAAAGAGGATAAGAAAAGTGCCAAGCCTGGGAAAGAGGCATGCCAAGATTGGGCCCAGGCCTGAGAAGGGTTGGGCCACCATGGGAGGGGTTTGGGGACCGTGGGTGGTCACAGCAGGTCCTGTGCCCCGCCCCACCCCCCACCCTGCCCTCCCTGTAAACTGCTGGATGACAGAGGAGGCCCTGGACCTCCAGTCTGGTGGCGCTGAAGGCTGCTTGTGTCTTGTCTCTCCCAGCAGGACCGTGCCAATAGCAAGAAGCTCAAACCAAAGGATGATAAGAAATTAATAAAATCCACAAGCCGGGACAGGCTTTCCTTGGAAGATACTATCCCAGAGATTACCACCCCTTCCCAGGAACCCATAGACCCCCTGGTCATGGAGAAATACCTCCACAGGCTGCACCTGGAGGTGAGAGGCAGACCCTGCACTCACTCTCCTCACCCACAACCCTGGCTCACACCTGCTCCACCTGTGCTCCCCCCACCCACCCCCCATTCATTCACTGTGTTTACTGGACACACAATAGGCCCTTAAGTCACCAGGGGTTGAAGCAAAGCTGTCCTTGTGAAGGACATGCTAGTGGGGGAGCCAGGCCTCATCAGTAAGTAACTGATTTGGCATGCTGAGTGATAAGCACTGTGGGAAAGTGAACATCAGGGCAGGGTAAGGCAGAGGCGCGTTGAGCAGGTGATGTTGAGTAAGGACTTGAAGGGAGGGGAAGAGTGGCCCTGTAGAGACCCCAGGAGAGGTGGTATAGGCTGAGGGGAGAGGCCTGGGCCAGCCTGGTGAGAGCAGTGGGACAAAGGGATTGGGAGGCCCCAGGAGAGGCTGGCAGAGATGTTCTGGGGGACCCTAGAGGCCGGGGGGCATTGTTAGGACTGGGTTGGTTTTCTCCAAGAGGAGATGCCACCCAAGTCTTGACTGGAGGAGTGAGTGACAGTCTGACTTGGGCTTGAAAAGATCACGATGCTGCTGTTTGGAATGGGACTCCGCTCTTCCCGCTGCTTCCTCGTGCTCCGAGGGCTAGTGCTGCAGGCAGCACGAGGTCAGGTGGGTGGGCAGCAACGTCAGGCTCTGGAAAGCCCGGAGAGAGACCATGTAAGGACATAGACTCATCCTGAGCAGCAGGGCCTAGAGATCAAGAGGGTGCTTGTCCGGTGGGATGGGTTTTGGTCAGCCCAGTGCTTTGTGGTTTGGCTGGTTTTTACCATTGTTTTGCTGTTTGGAGGGGAAGTCCACAATGCTGTATTCGTTACAACGTCACCTGCTTACGTGGAGTGCTCTGTCCATCTCTGCCTGACTGGCTGTGATTGGAGGGACGTGCCCGATCTCACTGGATCCGTTTCCATTGGCTCCTGGTGACATCACGGAGATTTCTGAAGCCTGATGGGGTCTAGAGAGTAATTAAAAGATGCTGAGGGCCCAGAGGGGAGACTCTCCCTCAACTCTTTGCAATTAAGAACCAACTTGCCGAGGCTTGTGTTGCCCTGCCCCTTTGGAGCACACAGACCCAGAGACCTTTCAGAGTCTGGATTTGCTTCTTAGAGAAGAGAAGTGGACTTCTGGGAAAGGGAGGTGGAGCTGAGCAGAAGCCCACCTGAGGAGCCGGGTAGGCCTTGCTCCCTCTAATTCCCCATAGATGAAAGCAGCACAGTGCAGGATCAGTCCCAGCCTGGCGTGAAAAAGGAAATAATTTGCAGAAACAAGTGTTCTCCAGAAACACCTAAACTGGTTTTGCCCCACTCATGCCCTTCTCTCGTGGGGCAGCTCCGTGCACCCTCGTTGCATGGTTGGCACGCCAGTGGTGTGCGCATCACTCTTGTAGGTCTATGGGCTGCTGGACGCCCTGGTGACCACCATGATGGTGTTGGCTGACGAGCTCACCCCCATGAAGAACGTTGAGTAGCGTTCCTTTCTGTCGTTGAAACTGCCTTGCGCATCCAAACAGCCTTCTGGGAGCCCGTCAACAGACACATCAATAGACTCTTCTACTCATCAATAAAGACAATTTCTACCATTTCCATTGTGCCTTTGTGTCTTGGGTTTTGATGAGGTCAACTCGTGGCGGCCTGGGTCCTCCCTCTGCACACCCTGTCTTCATCCCCCCTCTCCGGTTCCTGGAGCCATCCAGCGGGAGAGCGCCCTCCCAGGAGATGAGGTATGGGAGAAGGGAAGAGCAAGTTTGGTGACCAGACGACGGAGGTTGGGTGTCACCCCTCAGAGCCTCCACTCTGTCCTTCCTGGGCCCACACTTTTAGGGGGCCGTACTTCCTCAAGCCATGTCTTCCTGAGGCATCAACAGTACAAGGAGAGCCTAGGAGGGCCAGATCCCTGGGGGCCTGGCTCGTGCCCACTACCTCTCCAAGATCCCCGAGAGGCCCTTGTCCTCAATAAGAGGTTAATCTTCCCGTGGGCACTGGGTTTGTCGTAGCCTTGACTCCATGTCAGCCCCTCACCTTCGGGCACCATTTTTTGGATCTTAAATAGAGCCATTGGATTTCACCTTTCTTCCTGCTCAGAGGAGCTGCTGGAGTGAGAGGCTTGGAAAGAAAGGTGTGGTGTGGTATCAGATTCGACACCCTGATGGCTTTTGTGTGGAGAAGAGTCATTCTGGGTGCGGCTGCCAGGATTGGAAGAGCAAGTGCCCACTGGGCAGAGTTATGGGCTGGAGAGTTGGGGGAGCAGCCCCCTGGGTGTGCTTTTGGTCTTGCCCTCTGGGGCATTTAGAGAGAGCAGCAGGTTCTCCCTGTGTTGAGGGGTTAGATCCAGGGCCTGGGGGCTGTGTCCCCCAGGAGGCTGTAACTTTCCTTAAGAGACAGCCCCTGGGAATGGAGCAGCTTTCAAAGTCCTCCGGATCTAGAGAAAGAAGGGCTGGGGGTGGTGAGAGTGTGACCTCCTCCCCCCCTCCATCAGCCCTGTTTCTCCTGAGCAGGCAGGGGAAGGATTAAGCTATCACTGGGTGGGAGTGGACCCCCAGCTCTGGCTCCCCATGAGCACCCCTGGGGTCAGCAGCAGCAGGCAGGCACCCCACCTCTGAAGGTGCTGCCTCCTTGCCCGGCCAACAGGAAGGGGTTAACTCGCCCAGCCCGCACTCCCTCTTGTGTCCTGTTACTGCCGAGGCAGACCTGCCCGGCCAGCTGAGCAACTTTCCTCCAGCCGGCAGCTCAGCTCGCTCGCTCCCAGGCCAACAGGCAGGAGGCAGAGCCGCGGCCCTTCCTTCTGCGGGGTCTGTTCCTCCTCAGAGGGGGTGGGTCTCTGGAAGGGGGCCCCCCCACTCCCTGTGGTGGATGGCTCTGGAGATACCCCCTGCCAAGCAAGTCGGAGGGTCACTGCAGAGGCTGTTCAGGGCCCTGGGGCCGGGGCCAGGGGAGCTTGTACCGGAGGTAAGCTCACCTTCCTGGGTGGTAAT